AACACTGCATGTTCTCACTCATATGTGGAAGTTAAAAAAAAGTTGCTCTCATAGAAGTAAAAAGTAGAACAAACGATAATAAAGACAGAAGAGTAGGGGGAAGGGGAAATAGGGAGAGATTGTTAAAGGATACAAAATTACAGCCAATTATATCTAAGATAGAAGGAATAAGGTATAGATCTAGTGATCTATACCCAGTGATCCCCAACCTTTTTGGAATCCGGGACCAGTTTCCTGGAAGGTAATTTTTCCACAAATGGTTGGGGGGTGGGAGATGGTTTCGGATTGATACTGTTCCATCTCAGATCATCAGGCATTAGATTCTCATAAGGAGTGCACAACCGAGATCCCTCACATGCACAGTTCGCAATAGGGTTCGCACTCCTATAAGAATCTAATGCCACCATGATCTAACGGGAGACAGAGTTCAGGCAGTGATATTCACTCGCCTCCTGCTGTGCAACCCCGGTCCTAACCAGCCTAGGAGTTGAGGACCTTATAGCACTGTAGAGTGACTACAGTTAACAATAATATATTCTATCATTTCAAACAGGAGGAGGGTACTGAATGTTCCCAACGCAAATAAATGATAAACATTTGAGATGATGGGGAAAAAAAGGGAGGGGAAGCATCACTTAAAACTCAGCCCGCACCCTAAGTTCTTTTAGCCTCACCGCTGGCTGCTTTTCTCCTTGTGCAAAAAGTAAAGAGAATCCATGTCTATTCTAGTGCTCAAGGACAGCAAGATAAGGAAGGGTGCTAGGTCGAAGGGCTCCTGACCATTACATGCCAAAACCAGTCCAGAACTTGTGTGGTGTAAGTGTTTACATCTCCCACCCCAGGTTTGTTGGGAATCAAAACTCAAGGCTCTGACCTTTCAACTGGAGTCTAAACATCAAGAAATCTCCTTCTCTGGGAACATTCCACAATGAGAAATTCTTTTTGGGCTCTGAGAGGTGAGGGGCTGTTCCAGTTGGAGGTGGAGGAAAAAGATAAGGCAACCTCTCAACATCCCCTTTAGAGGATGCCTGTGCGGGTGGGACGGAGTCTGATGCCCACCCCGCCCCACCTCCACCAAACCCATGCACTTTTTAATTTTTTTGAGACAGAGTCTTGCTCTGTTGTCCAGGCTTGAGTGCGGTGGTGCCATTACAACTCACTGCAGCCTCAACCTCCTGGGCTCAAGCAATTTTCCCTCCTCAGCCTCCAGAGTAGCTAGGACTACAGGTGCTTGTTACCACATTGGGCTAATTTTATTTTTTATAGAGAAGAGGTCTCACTTTGTTTGTTGCCCAGGCTGGTCTCAAATTCCTGGCTTCAAGCAGTCCTCTCACCTCGGCTTCCCAAAGTGTTGGGATAACAGCATGAACCACAGTGCCCAGCCCCAAGCATCTTTGACTGGAGAGAAGATAAAGCTCTCCAAAGCCACCTATTACTCTCCCTCCTTCTCTTACTGCCTCTCTGCAATCCAGCTAGATAAATCCTGGACCAGACAAGATTATGGGAGAAAGAAAGCTGTTAAAGCTGGGGTTTGCATGTAGCAGAGCTTGATTTAAATTCTAGGTCTGGCCAGGCTGGTGTCTCATGCCTGTAATCCAAGCACTTTAGGAGGCTGAGGCAGGAGCATTGCTTGAGCCTGGGAGGTGGAAGCTACAGTGAACCGTGATCGTGCCACTGCACTCCAGCCTGGTGACAGAGTGGAGACCCTGTTTCAATCCAATCAGTTAATTCCAGGACTCCCTGCCTCCTTCTGATCCAATGACCTTGGGCAAGCCTCTGAGCCTGTTTTCTCATCTGTAAAGTATGGATACTAAATATGATAAGCAAGAAGAAGAGGGGGAGCTGAGGGGGCCATCTACCCCAACTTCCCCACCATTCATCCACCCTGCCTCTAGGGGACAGTCAGGGCTGTGTTCTCTCTCCTAGAAGAGATCAAAAGCCACTCTGGTCCTGGTCACATCCTTCATCCCCCACTCTCTTCCAGGAAGATCTGATCCATCTATCCTAAATCCCTCTCTCTGCAAGTAAGATCTGTGAGACGTATAAAAATAAGAACCGTCCATGTTTTTTCAGAACGCTTTCTCATGTTTGCTTCTGTGGCCCTTTAGCCCTGGCTCTTTCCCCTTCTTTGTTATTTTTCCACCACTTGCTTTCAGGGAGAAGAGGCTTGTAGTGTAGGGGAAGGACACAGATGGGGAATCAAGAGACCTAGTTCTAGCCTGGCTCTTCTGTAACTTGCTGTGTGACTTGGCCAGGTCACATGACCTCTCTGGCTCACTCTCAACATCTGAGTGGGTGAACCAGATGGGCTCTCAGGGTCCTTCCAGCAGAGAAAACAGACGGACCCTCAGACTAGCCATGTCTTGGCATTGGCCGTCCTGGAGCTCAGCCACAGCCGCACAACTCCCTTTCATCTCCCGAATCAAAGGGCAGTGGCTACACCTCCCTCTGGCCCTGACCCTCTCCTTGGGCACAGGGACAGATGAGGACCCGGCCTCATCAAAGCCCCAGGCTCTAGGGACCTTGCACCTCCTCCTTTCCCAACCTTCCCCACAACAGTATCCAAGTCCACAGGAATGGAAAACCTAGGGCAAAAAAAGAAGTAGGAATCCCACCTGTTATATCTCCCTTATTGCAATTCAGAGATGAAATACTGTATGTCTGAGGAGAGCCTACCATTGCAGCACAGGGCGCAAGAGGCTGGACTCCAAGGAAGGCGTTTGTAAATAAGGAGGGCTTCGAGGAGAAGCAGTCAGGGGTTCACGGCAAGCAGCCAGGACAGACCCTTACCAACAGCTTACTTCTGTCAGACTCTGGACTGCTCCTCCCAACTCTTTATCCTTCTTTTCTAGCCAGGACTGTGGATGAAATATGGGGAGGGAGGAGCTGTAGTCCCTTCTGCCTAGGGTGGGTGGGGGTCTGGTGTTTCATGCCCAAGTCCAAGTTTCCACCTCACCCTCTATATCCGCAGTGTTTGAGCTTCATTTTGTTGGGTCTAGAACAGGGTGAGGTGGGGATAGCCTGCCATCAGCTCTGCATACAGAAAGTAGGGTAATAGGGCCAGGTGCGGTGGCTCACGCCTGTAATCCCAGCACTTGGGAGGCCAAGGCGGGTGGATCACCTGAGGTCAGGAGTTCAAGACCAGCCTGGCACAAAACATGGCGAAACTTGACTCTACTAAAAATACAAAACTTAGCTAGGCGTTTTGATGGGCGCTGGTAATCCCAGCTTCTCAGGAGGCTGAGGAGGGTGATTTGCTTGAACCTGGGAGTGAAGGTTGCAGTGAACCGGATCGTGCCATTGCACTCCAGCCTGGGCAACAGAGTAAGACTCTGTCTCAAAAAAAAAAAAAAAAAAGAGAGAGAAAAAGTAATGTAGGTAATGACAGCTGGAAATTTTTAATAGGAGACTCTCACGCTCTAGGCCTTGTTTGAATGTATCTCCTTTAAACTGAGGCATCCTTTTTCCCCTTGCTCAGATGGGAAAAACTGAGGCTTGGAGATGACCTGCCCAAGCACTTGTGATAAATTCTGGGAGATCTGGTGCTCTTGGTCCCAGCTGCCTAGGGTCTAAATTGCAAGACAGGGTCCCTAACCTTTGAAGGAGAGGCTCTATTCCCATGGGGCCAAGGGTGGGGGTGGGAGGTTAACTCTCTCTCTATCGAAACTTGTCAGCAAGCAGGTGACTTGGGCAAAAAGCTTAGGATGCCTGAGTTCTAGTTCCAGCTCTGCCACTCACCTGATAGGTGATAGTGAACAACTCACAACCCCTCTGAGACTCAGCTTCCCCCTCTGTGAAATGGGCTAACGACCCTACCATGCTTCCTGCCAAGTCTGGGGGCTGCTGCTCTGTGATTAGCAGGTAGAGGGTGCCTCATTTTCTTTCTTTTTGTCTTTCTTTCTTTCTTTCTTTTTTTTTTTTTTTTTTTTTTTTGAGACAGAGTTTCATTCTGTTGTCACCCAGGCTGGAGTGCAGTGGTGCAATCTCGGCTCACTGCAACCTCGCAACCTGTACTTCCCTGGTTCAAGTGATTCTCCTGCCTCAGCCTCCCAAGTAGCCACGATTGCAGGCGCCCACCACCACGCCCGGCTAATTTTTTGTTTGTTTTGTTTTGTTTTCGAGATGGAGTCTGGCTCTGTCACCTATGCTGAAGTGCAGTGGCATGATCCTGACTCACTGCAACCTCCGTCTCCCGAATTCAAGAGATTCTCCTGCCTCAGCCTCCCAAGTAGCTGGGACTACAGGTGTCCACCACCACACCCGGCTAAATTTTTGTGTTTTTAGTAGAGATGGGGATTTCACCATGTTGGCCAGACTGGCCTTGAACTCCTGACCTCAGATAATCTACCTGCCTCAGCCTTCCAAAATGCTGGGATTACAGGTGTGAGCCACCACGACTGGCCAGTTGCCTCATTTTCTCTTTGTCTCTGAAAGGACCAGCTTTGAGGGACTGGGGAAGAAATGCCTGATCCCAACTGGTCTTGGCTGCCTACATGTGTGGGCGATTCATACCTAACACCTGCCATTATGACCTCTCGCAACCCCACTCTTACCTTCCTTGCCCAGCAGGATTCTCTTTCCCATGCTCAGGGTGGAGCCCCTAGGAAAGGCAGTCTGGAACAGCCCAGCAAAGCCCAACTAGGCCAATTGAGAGTGGGACAAGGGGATGGTTAAAGCTGGGGCTCTAGATCTGGCTTCCAATCCCAACTCCCCCACTTGTGACTATGTGACCCTGAATCAGCCACTTAACCAAGCCTCAGTTTCCCCACCTTTGTCTATCTCATAGACTAAGTGAGATAATGTATATGTACCAGCACGGTACCCTGGATCATAGCAGGCACTAGTGAAAGGGTGAGATTTTAAACCCAGAGCCTCTCCACCTCAGAGCGAGATGGCTGCCCAGCTAAATGGGGGCACCCAAATGCTCCCTCCCAAAACGCCGGAGGGTCTTTGCAAAGCTTGGGTTCTTTGCTTCCCGCGCGCCCTCACCCCGCACTCACTTGGGTAGCGAAAGTAAAATTCATCGTCCGCGTTACTGTAGTTGCCCCGGTGCCAGAGGGCAGCGTCGGTTTTGTGGTTGTAGCGGACAAAGACAGCAAAGAGAACGGCAGTGGCGCCCTGGAGGAAGAGGCACAGCAGGGGAAGCTGCAGTCGCCGGCCCGCGGCGCGGCTGGGAGACCCGGCCATAGGTCTGGGCTGCGATCTAGGCTGGCGCTCGCAGGCTCTGGCAGACAATCCCCGGCGGCAGGGCAGGTTTCGCGGAGCTCCGCCCACAGAGGCCCTGCCCACGGAGGCCCCGCCCTCACCTGCCGCAGGCCCAGGGCCCCGGGGACCAGGAGCAGGGCGTCGGGGGGTCCTGGACCCTCGGCCCGAGGTGGGGCCAAGACTTGGGGAAGGGAGTCGCACAGTCCTGGCGCTGACCCTAGCACTGTTACGGTGCCAGGTCCTTGGACGTGACCCTGGAAAGGCACCATGTGTTCTGCCCTGATAGGCACAGCTGTGGGACCTGGGGGTAGGAGAACCCGCACCCTCATACATGATGTTACTTTAGAGTGTCTCCCAAGGAATAAGTGGCCCTTAAAAATCCTGGTCTGGGCCGGGCGCGGTGGCTCAGGCCTGTAATCCCAGCACTTTGGGAGGCCGGGTTGGATGGATCACTTGAGGTCAGGAATTGGAGACCAGCTAGGCCAACATAGTGAAACCCTGTCTCTACTAAAAATAAAATAAATAAATAAAATAAAATAAAATAAAATTAGTTCGGCATGGTGGCAGTGCTTCTGTAGTCCCAGCTACTCAGGAGGCTGAGGCAGGAGGATCTCTTGAACCCAGAAGGTGGAGGTTGCAGTGAGACGAGATCTTGCTACTGCACTCCAGAGTGGGCAACAGAGCAAGACTCTGTCAAAAAAAAAAAAAAAAAAAAAAAAACCTTGGTCTGGCCCCTCTAGGGTTAATACAAGAGAGAGTTTAGGGGTTACTCAATCTTTTCCCTACTGAAAAAGCAGAGGTGGAGAACAGAGATAAACAATGCTCTTCAGGCACTCATGATTAATCAGGCTGGGGTGTCTGGGCCTCTGCAGTGGAGTCCCTTACACTGCTCTAAGTGGTGTAAGGTAAGGGACTCTTCCCTTTCCTACCCCCAATCTGTACCACACCACAGGGAAGCAGGCCGGGCAGGGGCCACACTGACACCCGGGTTCCCTGCGTGCCCACTGTGGATGTGAGAGAGCCTGGGCTGCCTCTGCAGCTGCAGTGGAGGGAGGCTGAATGCAAGGAGGGCTTCTCAATTCCAAGTCCAGAGTTCCTCATTACCCAAGAAAGATTGGCATCCACTGGGGGCCCGGTAGACAGACATGGAGGAGACAGACATTTATTGAACACTTACTGTGAGGCAGGCTTTGGAGATGAACCAGATAGCCCCTCCCTCCAGGAGCCACTGTCTGGTGTGGAGACAGACACTTAGGAGGAAATTTGATTACCAGTGGGATAAGCGACCAACCCAGAGAAGAACAGAGATTGCAGGGGCCCAAGAGGAGAGGCTGCAGAGGCCCCAGGGATGGGGTAAAGGAGGGGACTGAGACGGAGAATAGCTTCCTGAGAAGGTAGTGAATATATGAAGGTGATCTGGAAGGACAACCTATGAACTGGACAAGTGAAGAAGGAAGAGGAGATATTATAAGAAGTGGGACCAACATAGACCGAGCCTGGCAGTGTAAGCATCCAATGTGTTCAGGAACTGAGGCTGGGAGAGGCTGGGGGCAGTGCTGGGAAGGCCCTGAAGGCCCTGCTAAGGCACAGAGCCTCTACTCAGTGGGTTCTGGGCCACTGAAGGGCTCTAAATAGGTGTGGAACCCTGGCACTATTGGTTCTGACACGTGACACCTCCACAGGGTGAAGGCAAGTGTTCCACGTGGCTGGTGGGAGGGGAGGGTCTCTCTCTATGCTGCCGCCCATCCCAGGCCAGCCTGTCTGAGGGAGCCATTGTGTGGAAGGAGCCCGTGGGTGTCTGTAATGGTGTCCCAAACCCCAGTCCCAAGGGAAAGCTGCCACTCCCATGAATATGGCCTAGGTCCCTAGGGGCCAGCCTCCCCCCAGAACAGATGCAGGGTAGGGCTCCTTCTCAGGAATGGGCAGGGATGGGGTCAACAGTAGAGTCCCTAACCTCTTCCTTTTCTTTCCTGCTGTCCCTTCCCCAGCTCACTTCTCTCTACCTCCCCTTAGGGGCTCCAGCCTCTGGCACAGAGTGGACTCTGGAGGACAGTTGGATTCTAGGTATCCAGTTTCCCTAACTCAGGTGCCAGCCAGGGGTCAGACTCTGGGTGGCAGACTCTGGTAGCACTGCTTTCTGGTAGAGGGCTTTCTGGCCCTCAGTGGCCTCTGTCCCAGAGAGACTCTCTGTCCCTACTTGCTCAGCAGGAAGCTTGTTTTCTAGCCCTTCCTGGGGCAAGGGGTATATCAGGTCAGCATCCTTTGTATAATGATTCCGCATCTGGAGGCTCCACCCAGGTCCAGCCTTCTGCCCCAAGACACTGCCTGAGTCCTGTCTGGGAGTGGGGGGTTGCTCAGGGCTGTCCAAGCAGGGACTGGACAGGCCCTGGGATGGGAAGAGCCTTCAAAAGCTGCAAACCAGGGAAAACAAGGAGGAGTAGGCTGGGCCTTCCCAGCATCTTCTGGGAAGTGCCTCCCTGATTCCAGCCTCTTCCATCTCTTTGTCACCTTAGTCTCTTTTCATTCCTCTAGGTCTCTGATTCTCTCTCCTCTGTTGCTCATTCATTCACTCAACAAATACTCATTTAGTACCAACCCTGGGCCAGGTCTGGGGCTACAACCTCATGTTCTAGTCAAGGTATAAAACAGGTCCTGGGGCCCTCTGCCTGGCAGGTGTTAACCTCTTCGTTGCTGGATTATGGGGAGATGTAAAGGAACTCCCCCCTGCTGGCCCAGGAGAGCTGGGCCAATCTCTGGAGGGTACACTTAGAGACCTTTGGGCAACAGCTACTTGCCAACTTGAATGAGATAATCTTGATATTTCAACAGCTAGTGAGCACCAGCTTAGCTGGTATCAGCCCTGGTCCAGAAGACAGCAAGACCCTGACAGCCCTCCCCTTGGGAGGGTCCCCTTCCTGGCTCCCTCACCTGTCTGAGGACTTCCCTGCCAGGCTGCCACCTTAGAGGATCTTAGAGGACCCCCTGGCCCACCACCTACCAAACACTATGGAGAAGCTTAGTTTATGGTTTCCTTTTGGATTGTGAAGTGATGTCAAGCCCTTGGTCCTCCCCCTGCCTTCTCTGGCCCTGGTGGTTCTGATGGAATGGTGAGGGCTTCATCTCTCACTCCTCCTTCCACTCCAGGCCTCCTCTGAGAAGCCCCTGACTCCACCATCAGCTGTCATTTGCCTGGCCTGAAGTCTGTCCCATCTTTGACCTTCCATCTCCAGATTCCAGCTGTGACCAGCTGAGTGCCAGAAGGGTGACCAAGGGGAACCGGTGTCTGCTGCCTGCCCTGGCCCAGATTGGCCAGTTTGTCCCTGGGGACCAAGTATTTGAGGTTATTGAGTAACTTGGGGTTGCTCAGAGCTGATTTCTACCAGGGTCAACTCCTCCCAACCTCCTGCTCTCTTGGCTCAGGAATCCCCAAAGCCACTTGGCCCCTTTAGTTCCATGGAGCCACCCCCAATGTTTATATTGGAAAGAGAGAAAAATAGCAAAGCACCAGAGTCAGTAAAGCTCTTGTTAATCCATTTATTCATTCATTCATCCATCCATCCATCCATCCATCCATCCATCCATCCATCACATCTTTACTGTATGACCTTGGGCAAGTAATTGAACCCTCTTTGAGTCTCATTTTTCTTATCTGTAGGAGTAATAACATAGTTCCTTTGTGGAAGTGTAAGGATTCCAAATAAGTGATGTAGATCACTGGCATTTTTGTAAGCATTCAACAGATGTGCTGATTATTATTGTTCTGATTGGCTGAGCAGGAAGGGCAAATGGGTGGCTGGCTCCAATACACTACAGGGTGATAGTGTCTCTGATAGGAACAGATGGAGAGGGCAGGCAGAGTCTTGACGAATTCTCCTGTCATTGACTGGAGGGAGGTGGCAGCAGGGGCTAGGGGCCTAGGATAGGCACATTCAGGAAGGACCATCAGACCAGCAGCCCCAATGACATAATAACTTTTTTTTCTTTTTGAGACTGGGTGTCACTCTGTCACCCAGGTTGAAGGGCAGTGGTACAATCACAGCTTGGCTTACTGCAGCCTCAATATCCTGGGTTCAAGTGATCCTCTCACTTTCAGCCTCCCAAGCGAGTAGCTGGGACTACAGGTGCAAGCCACCCTGCTGGGCTAATTTTTGTATTTTTATGTTGCCCAGGCTGGTCTTGAACTCATGAGCTCAAATGATCCTCCTATCTTAGCCTCCCCAAGTGCTGCAATTATGTGCCCAGTCCATAACAACTCTCGAACAGATGAGATTTGGAAGAAGACAAAGTCTTCCTTCATTTAACAAACATGTGTTGAGTGAGCACCTACTGTGTGCCAGACACTGTGCTAGGCACTGGGCATCCAGTGGAACAAGATATAACCCCTGCTATACATCATCTCTACCCAGGGCCTGGCAAGAGACCTGGCACAGCAGGGTAGGAAGAGACAGGATGGAGATGATGAGATGGGTCCTCAAGGTCTGGCAAGAGCTGTTGGCCCTGAGCAGCTTGTGGCTGGAACACGAGCAGTGCAAGGGGCATGCTGGGAGGGGGACAGCTGGGCCAGGGCACCCAGGGTGCAGGGAAGAGCAGGGACTTCACAGTGAGGACTACGGGGAGCAACTAAGGGGTCAACAGCAGAGAAGTCATATGATCCGGCTGGGCGCGGTGGCTCAAGCCTGTAATCCCAGCACTTTGGGAGGCTGAGACGGGCGGATCACGAGGTCAGGAGATTGAGACCATCCTGGCTAACACGGTGAAACCCCGTCTCTACTAAAAAAATACAAAAAAAACTAGCCGGGTGAGGTGGCGGGCGCCTGTAGTCCCAGCTACTCGGGAGGCTGAGGCAGGAGAATGGCGTGAACCCGGGAGGCGGAGCTTGCAGTGAGCTGAAATCCGGCCACTGCACCCCAGCCTGGGCAACAGATCGAGACTCCGTCTCAAAAAAAAAAAAAAAAAAAAGAAGTCATATGATCCGATTTGTTATGTTAAAGTCCTGGCTGCCTGGGGACCATG